AAACAATAAAACCTCTTCCGTCACTAGAAAAGGTCAAGCCTACGGAAGTAGAGGAGGTAAAGGAACAAATAACTATCACGGAGGAAGTAACCAAAGAAGGCAAACCTAAAAAAGTGACGAAGAAAAATGTCATCAGACGTAAAGGAAAGGAGCAACAGGTGACTGAATTCATTACTATCGAAGAGCAAGGAAAGGCTCCGGTCACATCTGTTACTGAAAATCCAGTGGAAGAAATAGTTGATGAGATTGTTAAATCACTTCCCGCGCTTGAGGATGTCAAGCCTGCAGAAGTGATAGAAATGCAAGAGCATTTAATCCTTACCAAAGGTGTTATAAAGGAAGAGAAAGGGAAAGAGATTACAATGAAGAAGATTAAACCTATAGGCAAAGAAGAAGAAGTAGCAGAAATAGTTACTGTTGAAGAAAAAGAAAAACTACCTATTACGACAGTGTCTGAGGATCGCGTAGAAGAAATACTGGAAGAATTGTCGAAACCAGTTTTGTTAATTGAATATGTTAAGCCAACTGAAGTAGAAGGTGTTCGTGAAGAAATCACAGTCACTGAAGAAGTAACTAAAGAAGGAAAACCAAAGAAAATAACTAAAAAGAGAATTATCACTCGTAAAGGCAAAGAACAACGAGTAATAGAAGAAGCTACGGTTGAAGAACAAGGAAAAAGACCAGTCACAACTATAACTGAAGGACCTATGGAAGAATTAGTTGAAGAAATAATAAAACCGTTGTCTGCTCTAGAACAAATCAAACCATCTGAAGTGGAAGAAATTCGTGAGCAAATAACTGTGACTGAAGAAATAACTAAAGAAGGTAAACCTAAAAAAATCGTCAAAAAGAAAATAATCAAACGAAAAGGAAGAGAACAACAAATCTCCGAAGTTGTTACGGTTGAAGAACAAGACAAACCTCCAGTAACTATTATCACTGAAAGTCCTATTGAAGAAATAGTTGAAGAAACGATAAAAGCTTTGCCTGTACCCAAATATATGAAACCAGGTGATGTAGAAGAAGTCCGTGAACAAGTCATTATTACTCAAGAAATAACCAAAGAAGATAAGCCAAAGAAGATAACCAAGAAGAAAGTTATCAAACTCAAAGGGAAGAAACAGCAAGTGACTGAAATTGTTACCATTGAAGAACAAGGAAAGAAACCCATTACAACTATAACAGAAGGACCTGTTGAAGAAGTAATTAAAGATATTATAAAACCACTCGTAAAACCATCCGAAATAGAAGAAGTTCACGAACAAGTAACTGTCGTTGAAGAAATAAAGGAAGGCAAACCTAAAAAGATTACTAAGAAAAAGAAAATTAGACAAAAGGGAAGAGAACAACAAGTATCTGAAATTATAATTGTTGAAGAAGAAGGAAAGCTGCCAGTTACAACGATTACCGAAGGTCCTACAGAAGAAATAATCGAAGAAACTGTGAAAATTCTGTCTGCTCCAGAATATACTAAACCAAATGAACTGGAAGAGATTCGTGAACAAGTTACTGTCACACAAGAAATGACCGAGGAAGGCAAACCTAAGCAAATTACGAAACAAAAGACCATGAAACGTAAAGGAAAGAAACAACAAGTGACGGAAGTTGTAATAGTTGAAGAGGAAGGCAAATCTCCTGTCACAACTATTATTGAAGGTCCTGTCGAGGAAATTGTAAAAGAAACTATAAGAGCACTTCCTATTTTAGAACGTGTAGAACCATCAAAAGTGGAAGAAGCAGTTGAAGAAACTGTTACTGAAATTGTTACCGAGGAAGGTAAACCAAAAATCGTTAAGAAGAAAATTCCTAAAAAAGTTTCTAAAAAAGTGTCTGTTCCTAAAGAAGAAAAAGAAAAAGTTCCAGAAATTCCTGAAATTTCTGAACTTCCAAGAAAACTTAAGAAACCAATTAAACTTGAACGTCTCAAAATAACTAAAGTCGAAGCCACGAAACTCGAAATACAAGAAATATCTGTAGATAAACCTCAATTTGCACAAATTAAATTGCGTAAAACTCCAATTATGAAACGACCTGTGGAAAAGAAAGAAAAAATTCCTCGAGTTCTTCTTCGAAGTCGAATTACACCCATAGAATGGCCTCCAGGCATAAAATATTTGAAAATCGAGGAATTTGAACCGAATGAAGTTCAAAATGGCATTTTGTCTCGCAATGTCGAAGAAGCTGCCACTTTACCAAAATCTAAGAAGAAGAAGTTGAAACGTTTGGAAAAGGAAATAACCAAACTGGAAAAGCTGGATCAAGAATTCGAAGAATTGAAAAAAGAATTACCTCTGGAAAAACTTGAAGAGCCTCTAATAGAGAAACCGGAAAAGAAAGTGAAGAAAAAGAAGCCTGTTGAAAAGGTTAAAAGCGAAAAGCCACAGTTAATGAGAATCAGCATCAAAGAACAGAAACCTATCAAATTGAAAATTGAGGAACCAATTACTCCTTTGTTTGCACAGATTAAACTGAAAAAAGTACCTGTCAAACCAAAAAAGAAAGAAGATAAAGATGAAACTAAGTTTCTTAAGGTTTTATTACGCAGTCGTATCACAGAACAGGAATGGCCACCATCTATCAAATATCCTATTATTACTGAACTTGAACCTAATTATGTACAGAGTGGTGAACTATCTCGCACTATGGAAGAAGCGTTAAAACTAAAGAAAGTGAAACACAAGAAAGTGAAACTTCCAGAAAAAGAAATAACAAAATTGGAAAAATTGGATCAAGATTTCGAAAAATTAAAGAAAGTTCCATTAGAAAAAGTAGAAGAAATAGTGCCGTATGAACATAAGCTTAAACCCAAAGAATCTGAAGAAGAGAAACCGAAAAAATTGAAAATAGGCAAAGGAAAACCTCGGTCTGCGGAAGAAGAGGAGCCAGAAGTAATCAAATTAAAGAAAATACCGGAAAAAGTTCCAAGTATTTCAGAAAAGCTTACTCCTATTGCAAAAAAGAAAGATGAAGTAGACAAGCCTGAAAAAGAGAAAGAAGAGAAAGAATATCCTGAACTAAAATCATTCGAACCATACGAAATAGAAACAACCGAAGTAGAATTAGAAGAACTAGAAAAACCAGAATATCCAAAGAAACCAGAAAAAGTGTCTAAAAAGATGCCAACTAAGAAACCGAAGAAGGAATGCAAGATACCGACTCAGGAAACTGAGGCTGTTCCAATAGTACCCGGTGTTCCAAAACCAAGAGAACCTGAAGAAGAAGAAAAAATTAAGAGAAGAATTCCTGAATATGAAGCTTCAATGAAGGAGCCAGAGAAAAATAAATTGAAACCTTGGAAGAAACCTGAAGAAGAAAAAGAGCAAGAAAAGAAACCTGAGTATTATCTAAAATTCGTTCCCAAAGACGACGATATTGTCGAGATTGTCGAGATTGTCACGACCGTGAGCACGGAAGAAACACCAGAAAAGAAACAACGAAAAATCAAAAAGAAGAAAACCACGACGAAACATGGAGACGAAAAACCGAAAGTTGTCGAAGAGACAACGATAGAGGAAGAGGGTGAACCTATAGTAACGGTTGAAGAAATTGTCGAGGATAAAACTGTATCAGTCGAATTGAAACCTATACCTGTCGAAGAAATCAAAGAAGAGATAGTAACGAGCAAGATTATGAGCGAGGATGGAATAAAGAAAATGGTGCGCAAAAAACGCGTCACAAGAAAACGCGAAGGTAAAGAACAGATCACCGAAGAGGTGGTCGTGGAAGAGGAAGGTAAAGAACCATTAATAGCAACAACAGAACTTCACGAAGACATTACACGAGAAATACACGAAAAACCAAAACACAAAAGACCAACAAAACCAAAAGCTGACGAGAAAGTGACGGAAGGTAAGCCCATTTCTTACGTATTACAATTATACCATCACCATAGCCTACAATTATATTATATATATACGCCAGTTTTCATTTATCGAGCATAAATGATATACGATTTAAACAATACAAAATACAAAGACATGATGGACAACTATACTTGATATTGTACTATATACATAATCGGTGTATATGTTTATAAGCACTTTGTTTATACGCTTCTACTATTTTCTATCTTCGTTTATTCGTTAAATAATTTATGATATGTTATAAAGAAAAGCTTGAAATGAAATATTCTATTTTAAGATCAAATCTAAAGCATTTTATTCTTTTCGCAGATATCACGGAGGAAGTTGTAGAACAGGTAAGATTTATAATCGATTTTAAAATTATTTATATTTTTTATTTTAATTATGGATATAAAATTTATTGAAATTGATTTTTTATAAATAACAGAAAATTGTCGAGGAAATCAAGAAAATACCAAAGGTTGTCAAAAAGATTATTAAGAAAAAACCTCTTAAAGCTAAAGATGAAGTAACAGAGGAAGTCGTGGAAGAAATAATAATAGAGCAACCTGATGAACAAGAAGCACAACCAATCGTCGAAGAACTAGAAACAGCAACAGTTATTGAACACGATGTACGAAAGATACCGAAGAAAAAGAAGGAGGTCATTATTAAAGAGGAGGAGGAGATATTTGAAACAATCGAGACACCTACACAAAAAATTATTAGGAAGAAGATTCGTCCTATGAAGAAAGAAGGAGAAGAAATCGTGGTAGAAGAAATAATTCAGAAACCACGCGAGGAAACGATAGAAATGGAGAAACAAAGAATAGTAGAAGTAATCGAGACACCTACAAAGAAAATAGTGAAGAAAATAAAAGCAGTAGTAAAAGATGACGGTGTTCCCGAAGAGATTGTTGAAGAAATCGTAATCGAGAAACCGCAGAAAGAAAAAGCGAAACCTATCGTGGAAGAAGAAAAGGAAAAGGTCAAAATAACGAAAATTGATCTAATACAAGCACCCAAAAAACCGGAAGAAATAGTTGAAGACGAAGAAGAAATAATTGAAACCATTGAAACTCCAACGCAAAAGATCATTAAAAAGAAACCAAAAGATAAAAAGAAGAAGATAGTGGAAGAAGTTATACAAAAAACAATAGAAGAAGCAAAAGCAATGGAAGAACATAAAATTGTGGAAATCATTGAAACACCGACAAAGAAAATAATCAAGAAGAAAAAAGCGATTATCACAGAAGGAAAAACTCCTGAGGAAGAGGAAGTTGAAGAAATCGTAATTGAAAAACCTGTTAAAGAAAAAATCCAAAAGGATGTTGTATCTCAAGAAGGCATAGAAATTACTGAAATTATTACCGAAACTTCTATCGAACAGTTTCCTGAAAAGAAACCAGAAGAAAGCAAGCCCTCAGTTGTGGAAGAAGAAAAGACAGAAATCACGCAGATAGAAATGAAGAAAGTACCAAAGAAGAAGAAAAAACCAATTACAACGATTGAAATAGAAGAGAAAGAAGAGATCATAGAAGAAATAAAACCTGAAGTGAAAAAAGAAAAAGCTAAACCGACTGAGAAAGAGAGTGTTGAAATAACCGAAGTGATTTCTGAAGAAATAACAGAAAAACTTCCTGAAGAAGTTAAACTTATGAAAAAGAAAGTTGCTAAAATTAAGGAAACAGAAGAAAAAATAATAAAGAAGGAAGTAAAAGTAAAGGAAGCACCGAAGGAAGCTGTGCCTCAGACAGAAGAACAGCCAGAAGAAGAAGTACAAGAACTAATTACAGAAAAGCCAAAGAAAACTAAAGCAAAGAAAGAAATCATGTCTCAAGATAGTATCATAACTACCGAAGTCATTTCTACAAGCGCAGAAGAAGCGTTAGAAATAAAGAAACCGGAAGAAGATAAAGCTGTAGTTACCAAAGAAAAGGAAGAGAAAGATAAAGTAGAAGAGAAGAAAGTAATTGTAAAAAAGGCTCCTAAAAAGAAACTTATACCAACGGAAGCTGAAGAGGAACAAATAGAAGAAATAATAGAAGAGATGACACCAGAAGAATTAAAAAAGAAAAAAGCTAAAAAGACTATCCTTCCTAAGGAGGAGATACAGATAACCGAAATGATTCCTGAAGTTAAAACAGAAGAGATAAAAGAGAAAAAACCAAAAGAAGAAAAAGCTGTTCCCAAAGAGGAAGAAAAAGTGGAAGAAGAAGCAAAGATTACAGAAGTTTCCATAAAGAAAGTACCCGAAGAAAAGGAAGAAAAGAAAGAAATTGTAACGAACGGTGAGATTATTGGAGAAAAACCAAAAATAAAAGAAATTTCTGAAGAAAAACCTGAATTAAAAGAAGCTCCAAAGGCAGAAAAATTTAAAAAAGAGAAACCAAAAGAACCAGAGGAAAAGAAAGCAAAGGAAGAGAAATTGAAAAAGAAAAAAATACCAGAAAAGAAACCTATCGTGGAAGAGGAACAGTTCGAAGAAAGAATAGAAGAAATAGTAGAAGAAAAACCAAAGAAAGTCGAGCCCAAAAAAGAAATTATATCAATGAAAAGTATAGAAACTACTGAAATTATTTCAGAAACTGTTGCCGAAGAATTGTCAACGAAGAAACCTGAGGAACATAAAGCAATACCTGTCGAAGAAAAATCAGATGAAAAAGTTACAGTTGTAGAAGTCTCAGTAGAAAAAGCTCTAGAAAAGAAAGAGAAAAAAATACCAGAAGAAAAACCAATCGAGGAAATTCCTGAGAAACCAAAGGAAATAAAGAAGAAGAAGAAAAAGAAGGTAGTTAAGAAAGATGATATCGAAGAATGGGTAGAACCAGAATATGAACGACCAGTATTGGAACCTATGCCTGAGAAGATACAATGGGAACCAAAGAAGAAAAAAGTAAAGAAACCTTTACCAGAATCCTTGCAGAAACTGGTACCTCAGAAAATCGAAAGAAAAGAGATTAAACCCACGAAGTTAAAATATTCAGAACCTACAGAAACTGTTCAGTTTGCTGCAATTAAATTAAAGAAAGTAGTAATTCCGAAAAAGAAGGAAATTGAAGAAGCCAAATTTCCGAAAATTATGTTACGAAGCAGAATTACATTTGTCAGAGATTATCCACCTGAAATACAATATTCAAAGATAACTGAACTGGAAGAAAATCCAGTTCAAACGGGTATTCTGTCTAGAAATACAGAAGAAGCTCTTGAAATTCTAAAGAGGAAAGTGAAGAAGATTAAACTTCCCAAAAAAGAAATCACAGAATTAGAAAAATTGGACCAAGAATTCGAAGAATTGAAAAAGGTTCCATTGGAAAAAATAGAAGATAAATCGATATATGAACGTCCACCAAAAAAACCTACGGAAAAACCAGAAGAACCACAAAAGTTAATTATTGGAAAAGGTAAGGTGCCGGAAGAAAAGAAAACAGAACCTGAAATGATGAAATTAAAAAAGATTCCTGAAAAGAAACCGGAAAAAATTGAAGAACCATTGAAGAAACCAGACAAACCAGAATTTGAAGAGGAAGTTAAGCCACGAAAGAAAGAGAAACCAAAGATGAAATTAGAACACGAAGAATTGAGACCATTAGAATTTGACAAACCAGAGCTCGAAAAATATGTGCCCGAAGAGCGTGAGAAATCAGAAAAACCGGCACCAGAGCCAGTGCCAAAACCATATGAAAGAGAGAAAAAGAAAAAACCAGATCAAGAAATAGAACAAATTCCTTTGATAAAAGGAGAACCTAAACCATCAGAACCAGACAAAGAACCGGAACTTAAATTTAGAATACCCCAAAAAGAAAAACCAGAGGAAGAACCGGAAAAGATAACATTGAAAGGCTGGAAAAAAGATAAACCTGAGGATGAAGATATCAAAGAATTTCCAGCGAAGGAAGAAAAAGAAGCTCCTACGGAACCCAAAGAAACGGAAGAGATTATCCTGAAGCGCAAAGTAAAACCAAAGAAACCTAAAGAAGAACCTCCTAAGGAGGAGGAAGTGACATTCAAAAAACCAAAAGAAAAGAAAGAAGTTCCAGAAGTAATTGAAGAAATCACGCTAAAGAAAAAACCTGAGAAACCAATAGAAGAAATCCCGGCAGAAATATTTATTAAGAAACCAATTGTAGAGGAAAAAGAAGCAGAAGAAGAGGAAACAATTACTGAAGTAACATTAAAGAAAAAACCGAAAAAACCAGAAGAAATTGTTGAAGAAACAATTGTAAAGAAACCAAAGAAAAAGCCGATAAAGAAGGAAGAAGCCGAGGCTGAAATTACCATTAAGAAAGTTGAAGAGAAAGAAGTCGAAGAGGTTAAAGAAGAAGTAGTTATACAGAAAAAACTGAAAGAAAAACCTGTTCCAGAGCAAGCAATAGAAGAAGTTACTCTGAAGAAACCAGAAGAAAAGATACCTGAGGAAATAATTGAAGAAATAAAGAAACCTAAAGAAATGAAACCTGTAAAGGAAAAAGCTATTGATGAAATCACTGTAAAGAAACCTATTGTGGAAGAAAAGAAGGAAGAGGAAATTCCTGAACAAATAACACTCAAGAAAAAGAAACCAAAAGAAAAACAAGTTCCAGAGAAAATAGAAGAAAAGGTTACATTGAAAAAACCAATACCAAAAGAAAAAGTGCCGGAAGAAATAAGCGAACAAGTAGAGATAAAGAAACCGAAAAAGAAAAAACCTGTAGAAGAAGAGGCAGCTGATGAAATCACTATTAAGAAACCTGTGCCTGTAGAAAAGGAAGAAGAAGAGATTACAGAGGAGATTACATTGAAGAAAAAGAAACCTAAAGAGAAACCAGTTTTAGAAGAAGTGAAGGAAGAGGTTACATTGAAAAAACCAGTATCAAAAGAAAAAGAGCCGGAAGAAATAAGCGAACAAGTAGAGATAAAGAAAAAGAAAAAACCTATAGAAGAAGAGGCAGCTGATGAAGTCACTATTAAGAAACCTGTGCCTGTAGAAAAGGAAGAAGAAGAGATTACAGAGGAGGTTACATTGAAGAAAAAGAAACCTAAAGAGAAACCAATTTTAGAAGAAGTGAAGGAAGAAGTTACATTGAAAAAACCAGTATCAAAAGAAAAAGTGCCAGAAGAAGTAAGCGAACAAGTAGAGATAAAGAAACCGAAAAAGAAAAAACCTGTAGAAGAAGAGGCAGCTGATGAAGTCACTATCAAGAAACCTGTTCCTGTAGAAAAAGAAGAAGAAGAGATTACAGAGGAGGTTACATTGAAAAAGAAGAAACCTAAAGAGAAACCAGTTTTAGAAGAAGTGAAGGAAGAGGTTACATTGAAAAAACCAGTATCAAAAGAAAATGTGCCGGAAGAAGTAAGCGAACAAGTAGAGATAAAGAAACCGAAAAAGAAAAAACCTGTAGAAGAAGAGGCAGCTGATGAAGTCACTATCAAGAAACCTGTACCTGTAGAAAAAGAAGAAGAAGAGATTACAAAGAAGGTTACATTGAAAAAGAAAAAACCTAAAGAGAAACCAGTTTCTGAAGAAGTAACTGAAGAAGTTACACTAAAAAAACCAATTCCAAAAGAAGAAGAAAAAGAAATAACCGAGAAAGTTGAAATAAAGAAACCAAAGAAGAAGCCAGAAGAAGAGGTTTCCGATGAAATGACCATTAAAAAGCCAATTCCTATAGAGAAGGAAGAAGAAATAATAGAAAAAGTGACATTGAAGAAAAAGAAACCGAAAGAGAAACCAGTTCCAGAAGAAGTAACGGAAGAAGTTACATTCAAAAAACCAAAAGAAGAAGAAAAAATACCTGAAGAAGTAACCGAAAAAGTAGAAGTGAAAAAACCTAAGGAGAAAAAGCCGATAGTACAAGAGGCTGCCGATGAAATAACGATCAAAAAGATCGTTGAAGAAGAAAAGAAGGAAGAGGAGGCTCCTGAAGAAGTTATACTAAGACCAAAACCGAAGAAGAAATCAATCGTAGAAGAAGAAGAAGAGGTCGCTGAAGTAATCATCACAAAACCAAAACTAGTCGAAAAAGAAAAGACATCGGAAGAAGTTGAAGTATCTCTGAAAAAACCAAAAAAGAAACCGGTTGTAGAGGAAGAATCTGCCGATGTGACTATCAAAAAATTAATTCCTACAGAGGTTGAGGAAGTGCCTGAAGAATTTACCATTAAGAAAAAGAAGAAACCAGAAAAGAAACCGACGGTCACGGAAGAGATCGAAGAAACTGCCGTGACCATAAAGAAAGTTCGTGTTCCCGAGGAACCAAAAGAAGAAGAGGAAGTGTCGACTGAAATACAAATAAAGAAGAAGAAACCTGAACACAAGATCAAAAAGGAAGTGGCTGAAGAACTAACCATTAAAAAGTTCGAAGAAGTGAAACAGCCTGAAGAAGAAGAAGAAGTGCAAGAATTCACAGTAAAACGAAAACCTCCGAAGCAGCCTCCTAAACCGATCGAAGAGATCTATGAAGATGTTACTCTTCGAAAATTACGTCCAAAGAGAAAACCAAGGCCAGATATCAATGAGGTGACCGAGGTAGAAAATGTAACGTTCCGACCACGGTCCACGAAGACCAAAGAAGACGTAGAACAAGAATTCAAGATCTCGTTGAACACCTACGAGGAAGAAGATATTTCGATGTCCAGTAAAGTTCGATTGAAACCCAAGAAACGGCCAATGACATTCTCTGAAGAGACTGGAGAAGAAACGATCAAGATAATACAGGAAATCGAGGATGATTCCGGGCCTATCATAGAAGAGATCATAGAATCGGATGAAGAGGCCAAGGATCAATATAGTATCGAGGAATTGGAAACTGACGAAATGAGGCTTCCATTCAAAAGGAAGAAGAAGAAGGAACCTAAACCATATAAAGTGGAAGACGTCGAGGAGGGTGACGTGAAATTGAAACTGAAACACGAAAGGAAATACTCCATAGAGGAAGCTGACGAAACGTTGGCGTTGAAGTTGAAGGCCAAAAGACGCGTGTCCACTTACGAAGAAGGTTGGAAGGGATTTCACAATTACCGATTTCGCAGATAACGTTTAATCTGATGTAACGTGCTTTCAGCTATAATATAGAAATTAACATGCTTCATCAGGCTATAAGGTGCATTTAGTGAGTATGCTTGCCCCTAATATCCCTATGTCATCGAAACGAAGCCTAAAAATCTCCTGCTTCTTAATCCATTGCGAATGAAAAGCATATCGGTACTTTGTATAACGTACTTGAATAGCATTAGAACATTGTAACGAATTTCTAGTGAGAATAGGTATAGATCTAACGATATTCATATCTCGTCGAGAACGAGTATGATTAATATTGTGTAGTATATTGTCGCTTCAATTTTAATTGTTATGTCAATAAATGATTGTGTTAATCAATTTGTATGATTAATACTGCTTACCTTTATTATAATACTTCGTTTAACGCGTTGCAGAAGAAGCCTCGCTTAGTATCACCAGAGAAGAAGATATTTCAGAGGGAGGTATGTATTTTTACCGTCTGCATAAAACACGTGGAACACTTTTTATTTTTGTTTATCAAGTTTATTTTATTTTCGATATTAATAAATATTTGAAAATGATATATTATAGAAGAAATCGAATACGTTGTCCGCGATGGCGACACAATGTTCTCGATTTGCTCGTATGTGGCAGAAACCGACGAAGCCATTAACCTCGTTGAAGGAGAAAGAGTTTATATTATCGGTAAGCATTTATCTTTTTACGCGTTAAAATAGTATGGCATAATATCATAGAACTGGGTCAACGTTTACTATTCGTTATACACATTTTTTCCAGACCACACGAATCAGGATTGGTGGTTCGTGAAAAAACATTTGACAGAAGAAAAAGGTTGGGTTCCAGCACAATATCTTCTCAACGAAGTCCATTATACTCATTATCTGCAACGCAAATTACACGAGAAAATTGACAAATTACCTGTATTTGAAAGTATGTCGTATTTTATTTATGCGTATGGAAATAAATTTGAAAAAAACAATTTTGAAAATTCTATTTCTAACTTTCTTTAATATGTGAATAATATATTAATTAATTGGATAAATTTGATGATAAATTAATCTTCAATGTTGCAGAACCTGGGCCTGGAGAGAAAACATCAGCACCGAGATTCATCGAAAAATTGCAGCCAATTCATACACCAGATGGTTACACGGTTCAATTCGAATGTCAAGTGGAAGGTTTACCAAGACCTCAAATAACATGGTTCCGACAAACTGCCATCATCAAACCATCCCCTGACTTCCAAATGTATTACGATGATGATAATGTAGCAACTTTGATCATCAGGGAAGTATTCCCTGAAGATGCCGGCACTTTCACCTGTGTCGCCAAAAACGCTGCTGGTTTCGCTTCCAGTACTACGGAATTGATCGTAGAAGCGCCTCTTTCTGATCATGGATCAGATCTGACTGGTCCATCCAGAAAGAGTCTATCAAGGTACTCTTTTTTATAAATGGAAATTATTTTAATTCAGACATCAATTTCTTTTTTCTTTATTAACTTAATTTTTTTTCTTAAAGTAAATTTTTTTAATACAATTTTATAATTTTCATTTTACATTATTTCTTTAATATTTAATTTTTTTCATGTATCTGATTTACATCTAATGTACAATATTATAATATTTTTACAACCTTCTTTTTAATATAAAATGCATAATAAAATAAAAATTAATTTCTTTCAGACTATTTTGATGGATATTTTTTAAAATTTTTATACAATAACTTCATTTTTTTTTTTGAAAGTATATGTAAACTGAAATAAATTAACATTTTATTTTAACAATTTCTGCAGAGAATCATCGCTCGCCGATATCTTGGAAGGAATACCACCGACGTTCTCCCGAAAACCAAAAGCGAAATACGTCAATGAGGGTGAAGATGTGATACTGGAATGTCGATTAGTAGCAGTACCGGAACCTGAAATAACGTGGTATTACAAGGATACGCAGATCACAACCAAAGAGAACATCGTAGTTGCTACTGAAAGTGATATGCATATGTACTGCAGTGTGATTAAAATTACCAAAGTGCAAAAGAAACAGGAAGGAAAGTACACCATTGTCGCTAAGAACAGGGAAGGTGAAGCTACCATTGAGATTCCTATGAAGGTTTGTAATTCGAATACAATAATTATTAATTTGATAATATTATTATTGAATATTTATTCTTTTCCAATTAATCTTTTTATATATCTACATTTTAAAACTTTTTTCTATTTAAATATAATAAACAAAAATATGTTTTCTTTGAAAATACAAAATTTAGAAAAATTTAAGATAATATAATAAAAAATATATATAAATATAAATAATATATAATATATATAAATATAATAAAAAAATTTTTAAATTAATTTCTCTCTAAATTTGAATATATAATAATTTTTTTTTGTAATTCTATATTCTAAAGGTACAAAATTTGAAATAACTTGAATTTAACATCACACAGGTGAAGACTGGTAAACATGAACCACCAGAGATTCTAGAGCCATTGCAATCATATGTGGTACGAGAGGGTGAAACCGTGGTATTGTCGACACAAATCGTAGGAAATCCAGCTCCTAAAGTGACTTGGTACAAGAATGGTAAACCATTGAAGGATCTGATCCCGAAACAAGATGGCCACGTGAACACGTTAACGTTGATTCAGCCCCAAGTATCTGACAGTGGAGATTATTCTGTCACAGCCATTAACGATCTTGGCAAGGTTGAAACGAAAGCTACATTGACAGTTGAAAGTAAGAAGATTGAACATGTTAATGTTAATCTGTTGCCATAAAAAGCTTATTACTTATTCGCTTTTTATTCTCATATTAAAATTATTTCAATATAGTCACACTGCTATCCAAACTGATCAATTTTATTAAATTAATTCTTTTGATTTTTAAAAAATTGAAATATATTGACATGATATATATTGTGATACAAAAATCAAGAAATTGTTCAATTTAGATTAAACAATTGATTGAATGGTTCATATTTCTGTTAGAGAGTCTATTTTAAATTTTCTTTAACATTTTTTGCTCGATCTTAAATGTTTTTTTAATTTAAACGATATTACATCATGCTTATAATATATTAATGCTGCAAAATTCATTGCTTCGCTACATCGTTTTTTCAGTAAACTTGAATCCTTCGCTGACCATTAGCTTCCAACAACACGCGTACGAACACTACACTTTAACCAAGGGTACGATATGCTTCTGCTTGCATTTATTCATTGTGTATTTTAATATTTCAATAATTCTACCCTTATTGAATAATTCTGGAAAATTTTAAATATATAAATACTTTTGTAGAGATACCAAGCGGAGCACCAGAACCGCCACTCTTCACGGAACGATTCCAAGAACTTACTGTTCCGCAAAATGGTACCTTCAAATTGGTCGCAAAGGTTACTGGAAATCCTGTACCGGAAGTCACGTGGTTAAGGTATTATTATTATTTTTAAATCAAATTTTTAACCCTTCGTAACCTGAAAAAAAAATACGAAAGTATTATTTAAAAAGAAAGATTTTAGAATAAGAAATTTTAATTAAAAGATTATCCCGAATTTATATAATATGACTTTGATTTGTTTCTTCATTGTAAAATTCTATTAAAACTTGAAAATTCACTAAATAAAATATACAACAAATAATTATTCAAATAATAACAAATACGTGAATACAAAGTTAGAAAAAAAAACATTATTTAACTTTTTTTTTGACAGAAATAATAAATCCTTGGAAAAATCGCCGAATATCATTGAAACTTATGACGGTGAGAACATCGTGCTGGAGATCAGGAACGCGGATTCAGAGGTGGATGCAGGAGATTATAAATGCATCGCTAGTAATCCAGTTGGAAAAGCCTCTCACGGTGCCAAAGTTACGGTGGATGTGGAAAAGGTAACGTTCACGAAAACTCTGGAGAAGGAAGTGATCGTCGACGAGTACAAGACCTTGGAATTGATCTGCGAAACATCGCACACGGTATCGACGAAATGGTGGCACAATGATAAAGAGATCAGTGGAATGGATCATCGTGAAATTATTCAAGAAGGACGAGTGCACAAGTTGGTGATCAAGAGAACTAGTCCTACTGATGAAGGAACTTACAAATGCACTGTGAAGAATCAATCAACATCAAGCAAAGTTACTGTAAAAGGTGAGAATTGTAATTAATTAAACAGATATTTTCTAATCGATACATATTCATGGAAGTTTCATGGAAGTAATACAAATTGATTAAAATTTGTTTGAATTTTTGTCAAAAGAAATTATAACATTTATATGATCAAAATGTATAATGTTACAGCTACCAAACCAGAGTTCGTGAAGAAGTTACAAGACTGCGAAGTAAAGGAGCGTGATGTCGCCATTTTGGAAGTCGAGATCACGTCGCAGACAGCGGACGTGAAATGGTTCAAGGATGGCGAGTCCTTGGGACCAAGTAAAGAAAAATTAGAATTCGTGAAAGATGGCACCATTAGAAAATTACTAATCAGAAGCACATCTGTCCATGATGAAGGAGAATACACGTGCACTCTTATGGATGAGAAATGTACAGCGGAAGTCACTGTTATTGGTAAATATTATCTTTCTATTTAATTTATTGTAAAAATTAATGAATCATAAGACTAAGTCTATGTATACTTATCCTTTTTATTAATCAACGAAATTACTAAAATTCTTCTTGGATTTTTTCTAAAATTTAGAATTAAATTCAAAATTTTATACGAAAAATGAAAATTTCACGATAAAGAAATTTCGAAACTTTTTTTCCTTATTCCAAAATCATTAAATCATTTCCAATTTCATTTAAAAAATAAATAGAATTTAACTGTTCATGATATTTAAAATAAATATTCTATTATTAATTCCATTTTACTTTCACAAAATTTCTTCTCATAAATTAACATGATCCCAAAGTTATCGTTATTATCATTTATTCTTGTAATAGTTTATCGACATTTTACAAATTATTCTAGAATTACCACCGGAAATCATCACGAAAATGCAAGACGTGACGATAGCAAGAGGCGAGAGAGCGATTTTCGAGATAGAATTGACGAAAGGAGACGCTTTGGTTCGATGGTTCAAAGATGGCCAAGAACTACAATTTTCTGAACACGTACAACTGTCGATAGATGGCAAGAGGCAGAAATTGAAGATATACGACACGGAACCGGAAGATGCGGGTGTTTATTCCTGCGAAGTCGGTCAACAAAAATCATCTGCCAAGTTAATTGTGGAAGAACCAGGCGTGGACTTTATCACTAGATTACCAGATGTCACTCTTGTACCGTTGAATGCAGATGCCGTTTTCATCATTGAAATATCGAGGGACGTTCCAGTTACATGGATGAGGTAAGAAGAAATATTATGACAAATAAAAAAACAATTTCAATATATACAAGATAAAACAATGGGAATGTAAATGGAATCAATTCGATTATTCCATAAGTATTGATAGTTTTTCTTTTATTTATATTAAGTAAAGATAAAATTAAAAATAAAATTAGTTTTATTTTCTTTTCTAATAAAATTGTATAAATATTATGTTAATTGATCTAGTATTTTATATATAAATATTAATCTGTTCATAAAAGAAAAATCATTGGTTTAGTAAAATATTTTAAGAAATGAATTTTGTAAAATTTATGGTATAAAAGACAAAGAAATTTCATAGAGAATTATTAATGATAAGAAATACATTATTCTATTAAAATAATAATAATAATAAAAATAATAAAAATAATAATAAATAAATTTGAGATTCATTTAGATATATTCAGAAAATATTATTTAAAATAAAACTAATTAAATGCATACATATATAAACAAGATTAAATAAAATATAATAATATTATAGGAAATCTGAAGTAATTAAGGAATCATCGAAATATAGTATCGTCGATGAAGGCACAGTGAAGAAACTGATAGTGAAGAAATGTACCACTAAAGATATTTCAGAATACACAGCTGCTGTAACAAATGTGAAAACATCATCGAAATTAAGGGTCGAAGGTAATATCTAGAACCAATTAAATATTTCTTTCTTTGTCAAATAGCAGTTTTAATATTTTTAAATATTTTAACCAATCTAAATAACAATTATCATCATCTCTTTAAAATTCTAGTCATTGAAGTGGCGCCAAAGATTAGTCCAGACACACCCAAGAAGTACAAGGTGAGAAAGGGTGAAGATGTCGAAATAGTGGTGAAATTCAGCGCGACACCGAAACCGAACGACGAATGGACAGTGAATGGCCATGTGGTTACGAAATCGAAACGTGTTATGCCATTGATCGATGAAGAATCCGCGGTCTTAACTATCAGAAAGATCCAAGAAGAAGATGTTGGTGATTATACTCTGAAATTGGTGAACAATATTGGAGAGGCTAGCATAGAAATCAACGTCGTCATCGTTCGTGAGTATCCTATGTTTCTTTTCTTCTTTTCTTCTTCTTTTGAAATTAAAATTAAACAATCTTGTGTTTTTATCGAGAAATTCTATGTTATATATCTATTTTTATTTTCATATATCTATTTGCAGAGGTACCAAGTGCACCTGGAGCACCAGAACCACTGGAAGTAACTGAGAACAGTGTTACACTTCACTGGAAGAAACCAGATTCAAATGGAAACTCGCCTATTGTCGAGTACATTCTGGAGCATCAAGAAAAGACTGAAACTACGTGAGTGTATTAATTATTTAACTTGTCCAGAAAATATTTATAAATATAAATAAAATAAACCTATGAATTAATTCTATTTAATAAACATTTTAAATTATAAATTATTTTTTGATAACGACGAACATAAATGGAAAAGATTATATCCCTTTATTCAATTTAAAGGTGGACCAAAGTTGCAGAAACGATAAAGGAAACAACTCACAAAGTAACGAAATTAACAACGAACAAAGAATATACTTTCCGTGTAACAGCTGCAAACGAAGCTGGACCAGGCGAAACATCCCCAACTTCTCCATACATAAAGATAACAAAACCATCGGCTGCAGAACCACCAATTATCTTAGAACCTCTGAAGAGTGTCGTCGTTGGCCTTGGAGAAACCGTCAGTTTAACTTGCGTCATTGGTGGAACACCGGCGCCTGAGATTATTTGGTACGAATTTTGAGTCGAAAATATGTATCTATATTTTTTTCTTTCATTTATTTATCATTCTATATTCTCATATTTTAATCTGATTATACATTCATCAGACAATCTACTCATTATTAAATTATTGTTTTGAAATTGAAATAAATAAATACCAGTCAAAATTATTTTTCCTTCATAAAGAAGTAATATTTTCAAATATAAATATTAAAAATTAAATTAACGATAATTAATAAAATTAATAATTTCAATCAGGTTAAGAAATGGAGAAATTTTCGAAGATACCAATATCACGTACGAAAACCGTATGTCCAAATACACCATCACGAGGACAACGGAAACTTCATCGGCAAGCTTCACTGTGAAAGCGAAGAACGACATAGGAACAGCGGAAACAACGTGCGAGTTGAAGGTGCAAGAACCGCCTAAGATCACTTACGACGAAACACTGGCAAGCCAAAATCTTCCCGTGAACGGTCAATGGAAGATCGAGATTCAGACGAGCGGATTCCCAAAACCGGAAGTAACGTGGTTGAAGAGCAACAAGAAGATAGTCGACAAACGTGTATCTATTGAAACGGTGGAAAATACATCTACCATCTTTATTTCTTCGCTTAGCAGGGAAGATAGTGCCACTTACACGGTGAAGGCTGTGAATGAAGCTGGCAGCTCTTCGGTTGAATTACATCTTAGAGTAATAGGTATTATCAATTGATTCGATTCATTGATCGTATGATTAAGAAGAAATGGAATGCAATTAATATCTTAAATGGATTGTTAATTCGTAATTTTCCTACTTTTTTTTTTCAAATTATCGTAGATAAACCTAGCAAGCCTCAAGGACCAGTGGTCTTCAAAGAAATTAGGCAAGATCGTGTCACTATCGAATGGCGGCCACCGGAAGACGATGGTGGAATCGAACTCGAGAAGTACACGATCGAGAAGTACGAACCTGGCAAGACTTGGACGAAGGTGGTCGATATTGATAAAGAAGTAGAAAGTTTCTGCGTGCACAAATTGCAACAGAATGCCGAGTATAAATTCAGAATCATCGCCAGGAACGCTGTTGGAGCCTCTGAACCTCTGGAATCGGAAATAGTCAAAATGAGGACTTCCTTCGGTAGATTAAATTTTTATATTTTTAATAAAATTTTAAACGATACATGGATCAAATTTTAATACACACATAAATATTATTTTATATTTAAATCGTTCTTTTCCTTGCTTTTTATAATTCTATTAAATTTTTTAAAACAATAAGCAATAGTTGTTTGTTCAAATATTACAATATATTCTTGCAGAACCACCTGGACCACCAAGAGGACCTCTGGAAGTATCAGGAATGACGAAAACATCGTTCACAATAAAATGGCAGGCTCCAGAAAACGATGGTGGAACACCAATAACAGAATACATCATCGAGATTAAAGAAGAATCGAAGAAAGCTTGGCAAAAAGTCGATAAAAATTCTTCGCTTTCGACGAATATTTTCTTAGAAATCAAAATTCAATTTTGTTTTATTTACATTAAAATATTTTACAGATCGGCAGCACAAAGCACGAAACGACACAATTCGGCGTATCGAATCTAAAGACAGATGTGCCATACAACTTTAGGATAACAGCTAAAAACAGCGTTGGAACTGGTCCTCCTTACGTGGCTGAAGAATCAATTGCACCAGGCAGACGAATCAGTAAGTCATGCAGCAATCAAATTAATCATGTAGAAAACTATAATATTAATTGCCTAAGCTTAATTATATAATGATATTAATTTGTTCGAAATTAAAATTAATTTTGAAATTAAAATTTAACTTCTCGAGAATTATGATTTATTATTAAAATTGAATTCCACACTGTTAGGAATTATTTTATTAATTATTTAATTTTTATATTTATTATTTTATATAATATTACTATATTATACTGCTATTATATTTTTGATCATATTCTATCTTCTTTTTTTATTTAATACATACATTATTCTAAATATATACATTGAATTAAATAAATAATATGATAATTTTTATAATTTAAATATATTCCTATTTTAGCTTGTAATGATACAAATAATCGTAATCACTCGAGGGGTTATAACGCATAATATAAAAATAATACAATAATTTTGCAAAGCTTCGAAGTATTCTATATCTATTAAATGTTTTAATTAGCATTTCTAACAATTTCAAATATAAATCATCCAGCACTTCAACTGCTTATTACTGCTTATTTATTAATTTCGCTATCGCTTAGAAATAACAAAAATGACCGAAAGTACTATGTACGCTCTGCTTGGTATATTTCCGCCGACGAAAATAATTATCAGCAAAAGTAAGTTATTCACAAAACATACTCTCATTGCTTATTATTATTAAACATCGTTCGATCTATTTAATAAATAACGTTCGATTTGTAGCACCACCATCGAGTCCGCAACATGTACAAGTGATAAATGTTACCAGCAAGAGCGTGACGCTCAGTTGGTCTCCACCAGCCAGCAATGGAGGAACAGAACTCACAGGTAATTAAAAAATAGATATATATAAAATATATATAATAGAAGTAACAAAATAAAATGTTACTAATCTCTTCCGTGATTATAATCTTCAAGTATTTATTTGAAGATTCGCTATTATATGTCGAAAGAATAAGGATTTAGAATTGCTATATTATTTGATATCGTAACATTAAATTGTATTTTTGAATTTTTTAATATTTAGTAAATATACAGAGTGATCAGAAATAATATTTAGAACTTGAATTGCCCTATTGTTTTTGGATTTTTCTACAAAAATTATAGAAATTTCGGAAATTTCAAGCCCCATCTTTTAAAATAGAATCATATATATTTTTATATATATTATTTGATTCAGCTCGACATTTTCTATAAAAAAAATTAGCCCGTGTATGTCGAAAAATTATTAATTTATTAATTATTAATTTTGTTAAATTAATACGAAAGACAAGAAAAATATAGAAATCGAAAAGAGTCGAATCACAAATCCACACGTATTATGTTTATACTGATATCAAGTGTGAGGAACAAAGATAGAGCGAAAACATAATATCAGTATCTTCAAAATAGCAAACATCAATTGCTAATGTATCAATATCGATTACTTTTAAGATACTTATAAAAATTCAAAACGATCGTATAAACGTTACTTATCTTTCATTTAATAGCCATAGAATTATATACTTGCGATGCCGTGATTCATATTAAGAATTAATACTCCTTGAAAAACATCAATTATTAAATATACGTACAATCAATGATTAAATAATATTAAAATTATACGTATAGAATTACGAAAAAAATAATATATTCACTTGCTTCAATAGGATACATAATCGAAAAGAGGCCATTGATTGGAAAAGGAGCAAGATGGACGAAAGTTGTCACCCTGGACGCTATGACGCTTCAATATTGTATAGAGAATTTGAAAGAGAGCGAATTTATCTTCAGAATCTTCGCTGAGAACAACATAGGACTCAGTTTACCTACAAATTCAGAACCAGTTACCTTGATGACACATGCCAGTAAATATTCATTAGCCTTTTTGAATAATATTTAAATTTAAATTTAAACTATTTAATAAAATGTTTATTTCCTTTTGAATTTTTTAATTTGAATTAAAATTTTTATTTCGTTTCTTTCAAAATTGCTTTTCAAAATTGCGTATAAATTTTAATCTAATCCTGTATTCACAGATGTTCCATCACCACCAACTGCACCATTGGAAATCAGGCAAATTGCAGCAAACACAGTCGTTATTTCGTGGGGCAGGCCGGAATCAGATGGCGGTGCGCCATTGGAAAGTTACAAAATTGCTATTAGGGATGCAAAGAAGACCATGTGGATGGAAGTAGGCAGAGTGAACGCAGATACACAGAAATTAAATATCAGGGATCTTCAGGAGAATCACATGTACCTAATCAGGATCTTTGCCAAAAACGAAGTCGGTCTCAGTGATCCTCTAGAATCTGATGAACCTGTCAAAATCATACCAGCTTCCGGTGAGCTTCCAATATTTTTATTTTACCTTTTTTTAAGAATCTATATTTTTAGTAAGATTTAGAAAATATTTGAAATTTTTTGGAAATATTAAAAAGAAAATTTTGAATTATTTGAAAAGTATTTCCATTTTCAAATTTCTAAATTTCACAAATTTCAAAAATAAAAGATGCTTGAAAAATTCTGCAATATCAAAAACTTATATACCAATTTATAAAAATTTCTGTAAACATTTCAACATTATATTCTCATTTAATTTTCTAGAATTAGCCGTAGTGGAGCCAATCGCAGAAATGACCGAAAAAGGTGAAACTGCATCGGTCAGTTTTAGCACAGAGAATACGAGTTCTTGGCTACGCGAGCACAACATGGACGCCGACATCCATTCATACGCGAGAGCAAGACTTCTTAGACAAGACGAGTACTTCTTCCGCATTTGGCATTACGCTAAGAAACTTTTCGAATAAGCATTTCTACGATTTAACGATGAAATGAAAAACGAAGAACGGAATTCACATTCTTTCTTCATTTTATCGAGGACCATAACATATAATTTAACGCGTTAGCGAGACAAAGAAAACGAAATAATAATGGACAGATTTTTTTTATTAATTTAATGCGTTATAGAGATATTTCTGTTCTTTTTCTCTTCTGTCCTTTTTTTTTTCAACGAAATTTGAGAGAATCGTATTTCTATAAAAATTATTTTCCTCTTTCACGAAACTTTTTATTCTAGCGTCAGATATTTGCGACGTTTGATCTCTTACGTGAACACCGTATATACGTATAATATACGAAAAATTAATGACACTGTTACATCGTTCCTCTTTTAGAATCACGCGTATAGAGACTAGATTTATTTTAAGGATCGATATTGGATGGGTGTAGAATCTAGTCAGCATAGAATAATGATATTATTATTATTATTTTCTTTCTCATCTTTTAACGGACCAAGACTTCCTCACGCATACTTGGAATCAAACACAAACGGAAGACATTTACATTTCTTCCGATTCACGAAATAATCGCCACGATTTAATAACCGTGTAACTGAAAATTCGTCAAAAAAAAAAAAAAAATGAAGAAACTTTATCGGTAATCTTCATGATATCTAAATAAGCATTTTTTAATTAATTAATTTAAATTTCGTTAAACGTATTATCATTTAAAATTAATTAATTTTAAATTAAATTTATAATAAACAATATCAATCGATATCGTGAACATTCGGTATAACGTTTCTTCTTTTTTTTTTTTTTTGAATTATTAAAAATGGTAAAATATTAAAATTTTATCTTTTAATCACGCAAATTGAACAGACGAATTTTCAGTCGCATCGAATTGTATTTAAATACGTTGTATTTAAAAAAAGAACATCCTGATTTCCTCGATATATTCCTTTCGGTAAACGAGAAGCTTTATTATCAATCATTCGACGAGAAAATTTTAAATCCCCCCGAGACTCGATTCGTCGGTGAATGTGATAAACGATCGGAATCGATCGAGTACCTTATGTAAAGAAGCATATTTAGAGGTGATTAAGGATTAGTTGAACAACCCTCTCTCCACCAATCCTTTATTATCCCTTTTGTTACTTCCCTATCCAACACCTTTTCTATTTATATTATGAATACGAACGGAAAGAAACGTTCGTTTACTCCTACCCGAGTTTGCGAGGATTACTTTTAGTATTTATTCGTAAATGTATAATATTATGTTCAATTGTTACACGTTACCATTACCGTTATTAATTAATTAATTAATTAATTAAAATCGTTCGTTAATGTGATCGGCATCATTGCTGATGCTCGTACGACTGGTTATTTGAAGAGACTAGAGAAAACGAGGAAATGCCACGCGTGGTTGGTGTCGCGAGACGTAACAAAATATAGGTGCAAGAACAACAACAACGTTCACCAACTACGTGTCGCATACTTCGCGTTATATTGTAAGAAATCATTTTTTTTTTTGCGAATTAAATTATTGCAAACGGTACTTTTGATGTTTTTTTTTTTATTATTGTATCCTTTTCCTCTCCCTATGTGTATATAAGTAAATATCTGTACTAATAAAAAAGGTAAAAAATGTTTTGATGGAAAGAACTTTCTAATATCAGAACAATAAATTTTCTTTTATATTTAATTTTAATTATTTTTATAAATAGTATTTAACAATATTGAATTTGTTTTTATATTGTAAAGTTTTATTTCTTTTTGACTACCAATTAATAATTAGATTTACAAATTTAATAAATTTGTAAATTATTATATTATTATTTTTATGAAGAATTATTGAATTAGAAATTATAGAAATATAATTCTATTCTAATATAATTATATAAATTATAGAAATTAAAGTTTTAAAATAGTTTGTATTCAAATATTTATTCGATATTTTTTTATGCTCACGCAGAGTAAAAAGAGCAAAAAATGAAAAAAAGACAGAGATAGGATAAAAATTGTGGCATCAGCGCTATCTAGAGTGTCGTAGATGAAACAAACAAAATAATCATAACAGATAGCGCGGATATTTAATTCCTATTTTACTTTATTTTATTTATTTGTTTTATTAATTTTTTATCAAAGACATCAATGTCTAATTTAAAGCAAAGCAAGGATAATACTATCGATATCTCGTTTTTTATTTAAAAAAAAGTCCAAGAGCAAAAATGCTATTAGTAAGAATCATTTGCATGGTTGACAGTGATATGAAAAAACGAGTCACACGAAAAACTAATAACGAACTGTAAGAATAAATTAAAGAAGAAATTAAAAAACGATTCAATTAAGTATAAAATTGAGAAATTTGAGATGAAAATATAGAAAATGAAATTACAAAACATTAAGATATTAAAACTATACATGAAAAAGTAAAGGAATTGAGATTTTCATTAATCGTTTTAAATTAGAGAATGTATCTTGGATACGCATATGTATTCACAAACTTAATCTAACTGAACTTAATCTAATTAATATAAATTAATTCTAATTAATATAATTTATTAATTTATTTCACTAATATCTGAGATCCAATCTATGTTCTAATTGATCAAAATAAAAAGATCAAATTAAAAAGAATAACGCAACGTTTAGACTGGACTGCAGATGTGCGTAGTTCTTGGCTTGCCATCGCTTTTCAAAAACTATTATTTTTTAATTTATAATTAATGAAATTTATTTAAACTTAAAATATTTTAAAAATTTGAAGAAAAATATGTAACATAAAATTTTGGAAAAAGAAAATAAATGAAAAGCGATACCAATTACCTGGTCTCACCGACGAGGAGGTGACTACGTATCGAGACCCAAATAACAAAAAATATAATAAAAATTAATTATTTAAATATATTTATATTACAGATAAATAAATGAATAAATCTATAAATAAATAGAAAATAAACGAATAAATAAAAGAAAGTATAAATTAATAATTAAAAATATAAAAAAGTGAATAAATAAATAAATGAAATTAATAATTAAAAAATAAATAAGAAATAAAAATATAAATGAATAAATAAATGTATAAATATGTGATAAATATGAATAAATAAATATGTATAAATATGTAATTAAAGAAATAAATAAACCAAAAAATAAATGTTTAAATTAATGAATATGTAAATGAAACAATAAATATTAATAAAAAATTAAAATAAATAAATATTAAATATTATATATTAAAAATTATATATAAATATAAATATTATATATATAATTTATGAAAACAATATTAAATGTTCGTTGAAAATAAATATTAAAAAAAATTTTTTAAATATTGAAAATTTATTGCTATATTATAAAAATTTAATTAATGTATTATAATTGCGACCTATATGTTACGAAGCTCTGTTAAAAATGATTGCTTTCGCATGATTTATGTAGTATTTATAAACGATCGACGTAACTGTCGATTTACGAAAGTCGACGAAAACATACGGTCTTTATCGATTGTATTAAAATCGAATTTTTGAATATAATGGTTAATAATTTATCAATTTTTAGATTTTTATTATTAATTAATAAATCTGGTGATTTATTACAATGCTATATATAATAATTAATATTGTAATTTTTCTTTTTGCAAATGATTTTATCAAATTATAAAACTTTTATTATTAAAAATAATATATTTTTTCAAATTATATAATAATGAATTTAATATATAAATAGATTTATAAATTATTTCATTAGATCATTTTATTTATAACTAGAAATTAGAATTAAATATCATAACATTAATTTATTTTATATTCAAATGTTCGTTTGAATTTTTCAATATTTATAGCTAATCATGCGTTAAGAATAAAATAAAGAGAGCAAATAATAAGTAAAAGATAGAGATAGGATAAAAATTAAGGAATTAGCGCCATCTTTAGAGTTCCGCAAAGAAAACAAATAAAATACTCAAGAGATGGCGCTGAAAGTCGATTCTTTACTTTATTTTTATCTTATTGTTTGCATCCTTTTCTATATTTAACTAATTTGTAGTACTTTAGAGATGGCGCTAATTGCTAAATTTTTATTATCTCTGTCTTTGTTTCATTATTTCCTGTCCTTATTTAACTTATATCGAATGATCACAGAGAAGATATTCGAACGAATACGTATTTAAATATGAAATATTTACATTTTTTATAATTATTAATTTTAATTTCTAATCTAATGAATACTAATATAATGATGTTTATAAACTTGTTCATTCATTAAATTTATTCAAAATCATTAATTTTATTCAAAATCATTCTTATAAATAATAATTATTTAATAATTTTATATAACTATTTACAAAAAAAATACATTTATTAATTTTATTGATTTTAAAATTTAAATAAATAAGAAATAATTTATTTCTATTTATTTTTAATTAATAAATTTTTTTTTCCATTATTTTACTTTCCATGAAAATAAATATGTAAAATATTGTTTCGTATAGAATTAGTAGATTATACAATTAGTTTAAAATTTAATTTAAATTTTATCTTCAAGTTTAGCTTTCCATAATGATTCTCCTTTTTTCCTATTCTTCGTTTCACACTATGAGAAATTTGAATATTTATCAAAAGAGAAATTTATTTGAAAAGTAATAAATTTTTATATAAAGAAAATAATAAATGAAATATGATTAAGATGATTTTCTAATTTGCTATCTTCTCATTTTGAAAAGATAATCAATATCTATTATTTGATATATTACTTGATAAATGAATTAAGAATTTTTACATATTTATAAGATTTTTTGTTTACGATATAATCTTCATTTTGATTTCTAAAATCAAAAAATGTGAGTTCAGATTTTTAACTTTTCAAAATGTACTGTTAGATTGCAGATGTACTATTACAACAATATTGTATTTTACATATTATTAATTATTAAGATATTAAAATATATAAATACAAATATATGAAATATATAATTCTTAATGAAAAAATATAATTTTAAAAAAAAAATTTTAATTATACCACAGATTAGTTTTTTGCATTCAACGTATTATTTGAATATTATTTACTTTTAATTTTTCTGATTGCATAAAATTATTTTATATATACATAAAATGTAAAATGTAAAATGTAAATGTGTTGTTTTATGATAGATTACCTTCAGATGTCAATTATATATAGTGCAACACTAATAGTAATTGTTTTGCATTATTTCTTCAAGGTTTATCCATAATTAATCAATTTTGTTATTTTATATATTTTAATTTTATACATGCATTTCTATTTGTTACATTAATTATTTATAGAAAATATATTAAATAAGATAAAATTCTTTTTTATCGATAATTTAAATTAATATACTGAATATTTTTATACATATATTAATTATTTTCAGAAACGTGGAAGAACTTGAAAGATTGGATAAAATAACGATAACTGTATGAACTTTTCACTTTTTATAAATATAAAACAATGAACGTCATATCTTAGGAAGAACTTAATTACACAAAGCCAGGAATAAAATAAATCCATAAGAAAATCCTCTTATCGTTCTTTCATTCCTTCTTCTCGATATCATCCTATCCAGGTTCTCATACTTACTTTTGGATTATATTTTTCTCCATGTAGAATGATAATTATACAATCTCTTACAAATCTATTATTTTGTTAAGTAACTAATATATCCAATATAATATTCTATGATATATAGCTAATATATTATAATATATACATATGTGAATAGAACAATAGAATACATATTATGTATTATGTATACGGATATTCATTTTTTTAAATCATCTGATAATGTTATGCATTTTCTGACAAACATCTTTCATAATTCTTAAATGAACAATTAACGCGTATTCAGCCGAACGATTTTTTTTTTTCAACAATCAATGATTTTATTGGTCTCTAGCTAGACAGGCCTCCGATACATGATATTGTAGCAATCTTATTTGAATTGATAATACGCGAGAAAAAAAAATAATGACACGCCCATAGGTGTGAACGATTCACATGATTGCCAATCGATAATTACCAAAGGTGATGATCTTCATCTGTTACCTTGAATTATATTAATTCAATTTTTTTTTATTCCAATTTCATACCAATCAGTATTTTGTAATTATAATCTTATTTTTTAATCCTTAACATTAGAATAAAATTTTAAACAATATTAATTTTTACATAAAAATGTAAATAGTATTCTGACGTATCGTGATATAGAATAATTAAAGTAAATATGCATAATGATGTTTTTTTTGATTGTTTTCTCGATATGTATTTAAATCATTTTTTTTTTTTTGTAAGTTAAGTATTATATTGCAATCTTAATAAATATTTACGAAATTTATACATATTATTAATGCTGCACAATGTTATGCATTAAATATTTATCAAACGTATGATGATTTGTAATATTTAAATTTATTATTTCTTATTATTTAATGAAATATTAATGGATAGTTTTTAGTTTTAATGAAATTTTATAAGTGTATACAATGAGTATAATGGAATCTAAATGGAAAATATTGAGTAATTTTTTGGAAAATCAAT